GGAGACAGTAATGTTTCTGAATGCCAGTTATGGGAAGCCTCAGGACGAGAGAATGCTCTTGTGCTCAGGTCCTGCTTGCAGGTTTTCCACAGGCATTTGGCCTGCCAGGATGCTGAACTAGATGGGCCATTGGTTTGATCCAGCTGGCTCTTCTCATATTCTTAATACTGAACATTGTGGACCAGTGGTCTCACATAGTGACATTATCCTAGGCCTAATACCCTAACTTTTAGGCTGGTGGAGTGGTTTTTGAGTGTTATGGTTCAAGACAAAGTTTGTCGTTGAGGATGAAGTATTTCAGAAATATTTGTTTTATCAATTGCCCTGTTTATCAAATAATTTACCTGAAGGTAGACAACCCATAGGGATGCGGGTGGCGCTGTGGGTTAAACCACAGAGCCTAGGACTTGCTGATCAGAAGGTCGGTGGTTTGAACCCCTGCGACGGGGTGAGCTCCCGTTGTTTGGTCCCTGCTCCTGCCAACCTAGCAGTTCGAAAGCACATCAAAGTGCAAGTAGATAAATAGGTACCACTCTGGCGGGAAGGTAAACGGCATTTCTGTGCACTGCTCTGGTTCGCCAGAAGTGGCTTAGTCATGCTGGCCACATGACGCGGAAGCTGTACGCCGGCTCCCTCAGCCAATAAAGCGAGATGAGCGCCGCAACCCCAGAGTCGGCCACAACTGGACCTAATGGTCAGGGTCCCTTTACCTTTACCTTTAGACAACCCATACATTTATTTACCAACATAGTAATATTAGGATTGAGCTATATATAGTGTATATTTTCTCCTCTACATTTTTATTTTCCTCTAGATATCTTTCATAAATAGATAGTGCCACTATTTCCTCCTCCCTTGCATGTCTTGGTGCAAAACAATGGAATTATTTCGTGGAATGTTCATGTTTTGAGGGGTGTTAATTTCACTCCATTTCAGCCCATAGGTCTACAACTTCTGAGTGTGATGCAGCATACATACACAAGAGGACAGTATTTCACAGGGAAAACAGGCCTGCTTGATTTATATAAAGCATCAATGGAGGATGCTGGCACAAGCTTTCCCAGAGAATGTTGTACTGATTACATCAGCCCAAATATTCTAAATCCAGCCGTTCGGTCAATTTAATGAGTCTAGGGAACTGAGCAAATTAAAAACAAGTTTTGCTGGGTTTCCAGCCTTCTTTGTTTTCTGCAACTTTTGTAGTCATCACTGCAGGCTAAAAGCAAAGAGTGAATTCTGCCAGCGATGACAATAGTCTTAACACTGCTCCAAGCTGCAGCCAATATTTGATAATGGCAACAATTGACTCAGCAGCATGCAGTGGCTTTTCTACTTGAAGGTCACCTTCAGGCATCGGTAGCAGAATTTCCAGCTACACTCAAAGGAGTGGAACAGGGCTTCTTTCCCTGTACGATGCAAACAAGATATGCTAGTCAAAGAAATGGTACCCAAGCCATGAAATATGATTCTGAAACTTTACTGATGGTGAAATATTTTCATAGTGTTTGACAACACAGCTTCTACTGTGTGATTAGCCCAACTTGCAGACAAAACTCTATAATTGCAATCACATTGCCAATGTGGCACAGTATTTGAAAATATTGTCTTACTTTGTCTATAGGAAATGAAATGTTTATTTAAAAGACAGACAGGTAATGTTGGATGAGGACTTTGTTTGTGTGGAGGAGAGATGGTAACGAGGTTCATTGTTTTACCCTCAAAAGCCAAGTTCTAATATTTTATTAGATCATAATTTAAAAGGAATGTAGATTACAGAGGAATGTAAAAGCTTGGCAAACCCTCACAGTGATCAACTCCCACCCGGAAACCTATGTCCCCACAATGGAATGATGTGTGGATCCAAAATTGGCCTCCACAGTCACTTACAGACCCACTGTTAAGATCATGTTCATGGAAGGCAATCTTTCTCGGCTCCAAGTGATTGCTAAAGAAGAAGACTGTCACCCATCACAAGAGCCCAGTCCCACATGACCAAACACTCTGGAACTGGCCAAATAATGTGATCAGGGCCTACTGTTGCACATGCATCTCAGTTGTCATTGAAAGTTATACATATAGCTGTGAGTGGTGCGCAGAATCTATATGCCCATACTACGGCTGCCATACGCCTGGAATTTCCTGGACATAAAATAGCATCCAGGTTGAATTTTCAGAAATTGGTTGAACTATCCAGGAAAATCCCGGCGTATGGAAGCTCATATTGGAAGTATTGATATTTTGGTCAATTTCCCCCAAAATAGCTCATCAACTTTGGCCAAATATAGCTTATAGCTCAACAACTTTTGTGTCCAGATTTTCACTTTTTGAAATATGGCAACCCTTGCCCATAACCTCCGTGTCCCTATTTTTAAGGACAGTCCCAGAATTGAATATTTTAATGTATAACTTGTATTTCAATTGCTATTAATTTTAATTTTTTTGTAAACCGCTTTGTGGTTTGTTTGTTTGTTTTTTACAATCTAGCGGTGCATAAAATTTATGAAATAAAAAAAAATAGATTTCTCTTTTGTATTTTTTTTTCTTCTGTGCAGTGCATTGCCTTGTTTGTCTTTTTCCTTCTGTGGCCGAAAGAAAGATAACTTTAAACATATGCAACTACTTTTATTTATCTTTTCCCCCTGCTTTACCTTACTTAATAATGGCCCACAGGGTCCTTGCCAAAATGTATTCAGTCAGATTTCAAAATGTACCCTGAAAGAATATGAAAGCTATGCAGAAAGGCTCTCTGGATAATTCAAGAGATTCTGCAGGTAGGGACTATGCAATATATCTGCAAAGTGAAATAATGAACTAGAGTCAAGACTCAATCTCCTAGAATTTGGAACTGCTGTTTAGTTCTCAGTGTGATGAATATCAAAATTGCCTGTGAATACTACAAAATGATCAATACCTGGCAGGTCATGTTTGCCCCACGATGATCTTGGCAGCTTTTAAGAAAAACTGATTGCTTCGAAACCACATAAATGATGTGCGCCAGAAACTTGTGACTGCTTATTATCAATGAAGGGCCCTCTAGTTAGCACGGGTTTATTTGGAAGGAACAATGTCACACAGTGAAAGCAGCCATCTATTTGGAGCAGAGAGGATATATGCCACGTGTCCTGCAAGAAGATCATTATTCCACTCCACAGCTGTGTCCACAGCTGGCTTTTTCTCCCAGCTTCCACTTCAGCAACTTTCTCCTGCAAATCACCATGCCGCTCTTTAACTTCAACACACATTCAGAGTGTAAACGGTAGTTTGGCAGGAGGAACTCCAGTGAGCAGAGCCGTCTTTCCTATTGGGCTTAGTGGCGCGTTGCGCCAGGGCGCTGCCGTCTCAGGGGCGCCCCAGTGAGTGGGGGAGCTGCGCGGCTTTGCCGGCTGCCTCTCCTTTTCCTGCACACCCGCCAGCTGTGCCCCGTCAACCATATGGCTGGCGGGTGTGCAGCTTGCCTCCCAAGCTCTGTGGGAAGAGGGCAATCCCTGCAGAGGCTTAGGATGGAAGCTGCACCCCGCCAACTATATGGCTGGTGGGCATGCAGCTTCCTTCCCAAGCCTCCACGGGAGGAGAGTGATCTCCAGAGGCTTTGGAAAAGGTCAACAACTCTGGGAAAGGGGGGGCATCGGAGGGATGTTTGCACCACAGTGCCGGATATGCTTAAGACGGCCCTGCCAGTGAGAAAGACATTGATGGCCATGGAGGCATTAAACTCTGAGGCTGAGCTGTGGCTAATGGGGTTGGGGACCCATAATAGCTCATAATATGCTACAGGAGGAGCCACAGCTTGACATGCTCTGCATGTAGAAGGCCTTTCCTCTTTCAATAGGTCCTCAACAAGAGGAGATTTTCATCCCAGTTCGTATCTGTATTGGATTTGGAATGTTTTTAAAATAATAATAATAATAATAATAATAATAATAATACAGATTCATAGAACTGTAGAGTTGGAAGGGAGCCAAAGGGTTGTCTAGTTCTGCCGCCTGCATTGCAGGAATCACAGCTAAGGATATATATGTGTAATTTGTCTTTAACTGCTTTAATATAAGTAATGTTTTTACATTGTTTTTATGTGAGTCCTGGAAGACCTGCTCCCTGCCTTGCAGGCCATTTCGGCCTTTTCCCACCTGGCCTGGGAAGGCAGGACTGACTCCAGCTACAAAAGCTGAGGTGGCTGAACAGAATCTTGGGCTTGTGTATTGTTTGGGGGTTTTTGTCAGGGGAGGAGTTGTTGCTGTAATTTTTTTGCATCTTTATTTTGTATCTTATTATTTATGTGGAAATTGTACATTGGTTATGTACTTTTTGATGTTTTGTTTATTGTTTATGACTCCTTTTGTCACGCTCATAGTTATGTAATTTTTTATATGTTGTAAGCCACCTTGAGCATGGCTTTAACTTTGGAAAAGCGGCACACAAAAAACAATGTTTTTTACATTGTTTTTATATGCACAATTGTGTTAACTGTATCATCGTCATAATAAATAGCTTCTTACATAGGTCTCAAGGAATTTTACAAAAACCAGTTCAAATAGCTTTTTTTTTACAGCACAGCCCCCATCCCATATATGTGTTTTAAAAACAGTACAAAATGGACACCAAAGACGGATAACTTTTCCTCTAGCTGAGAAAGCTGGTCGAAACAAAAATGTCTTCAATTGCTTCTGCAAACTACAGATTGTGGGCACCTGTCATATCTAAACAGAGATGCTGTTCCACAAAACTGGGGCACCCCACTGAAATCCACGCTCTGCTGTTGTGGAATGGGCTTCTGAGATATCCAATTATTTTAGGGATATTTTTATTGTATTGTGAAATCGCTTTGAGATTCTTCATAGGGAGTGATTCATAAATGAAAATAACAAGAACAATAGTATTCAGTTCAATGGATTGGGTTGAAGGACGCAGCCTCATATGGAGTCAGACCATTGGGTCCATATAGCTCAGTATTCACTGACTGGCAGCTGCCCTCCAGACAGGGAATCTTTCGCGGCCCCACCTGAAGATGCTAGGAATCAAACCGGAGACCTTCTGCATTCAAAACAGATGCTCTGCCACTAAGCTATGTCCCTTCCCCACAAAGGTGATGGGGAAGCCCAGCTGCTGTCAGTCAGAGACGGCAATATGGAGCTAGGTGGATCTGAAATTCATGTTCCATGCCTTAGCTTTTTTTCTAGTTGGAACTCCACACTTCTGTCTGCAAACTGCACACCATTATAGGTCAAGCTTTGGGATGCCATTCATTTTAATTTTAACTCTGCCCTCCGTGAACACTGAAGATGCTGCCAATTTGAAAGGGATTTAAGAATTCTCTCCTCAGGCCGTCTCATTTCTTCAGTGTTAAATTCAGCTCACAGTGCAGGGGCAGCGGGAGCAAGACTTTGGAGGCAATCCCACATGATTAAATGGCCTAGCCGTTGACCTCTAAGGCAAAAGATTGGCCCTTTCTGGGTGGATGCACACAAAGTTTGCCAAGAGAAAGACTACTTTTTCCCCCCAATGCTGTGAACAGCATCTTGAATTTGCTTGTGGCCTTTTCCTCCAAGTTTCCAGCTTTCCAGACTTTTTTCTGGATTCCGTAATATTTTTCGATTGGTGACCGAGAAATACAATGTTGTCCTTGTACTCATCTACCAAAGTTACTTTAACATAGGCATGGGGTATCTCAGGCCTGCCACTGTATAGGGCTTGGCCAGCACACATGGCCCCCTCTCAATGTGTTTGGGAGGATGGAACTGTACACCTCCCCCTCAAAAAAAATCTCATAAAAATATGCCCCCCTCCCCGTTCCAATTCAGGTTACGCAAGGGCTGTGACTCAGTGCTAGATCAACTGCCTTGCTCTTTGCAGAAGGCAGCGGGTTCAAGTGCTGGCATCTCCAGTAAGCCATGGGACATAAACCCTTGTCTGGAACCCTAGAGAGCCAGTTGTTATGTATTCAGTGGTCTGTGTTTGCCTGTGCTTGAGTCTGGACTAAGGATTCTGAGCCCCTGTGCTCTGATTCGATACATAATGTCCAATCACAGAACATTTCAGGATTTGGGCATCTGCCATTGGCCCTTGAACTCTGAGTCGTGATTCGCAGCTTGGGAGTTTAGACAACCAATCATGTTGGAAGTGGGAGTGACCCAGGCTTTCAGGAATCTATATATGCAGTTGCTTTGCCCCTGTTTCCCAGTCATGTAGTTCAATAAAGGATCTTGCTGTTATCACTGTGTCTTGCCTCGTGGGAAGCCACCTGCACTTCACCAGTGCCATTCAGTTTAGACAATACTGCATTAGATGGACCAGTGGGTCTGACTCGTTATAAGGCAGCTTCCCGATATTGCCTGCGATTGACAACAGGAAATGGAACCAGTTTGCAAAGGGCAGCCTTAAAGAAACAGACAGCCTCTGCTAACAGAGGGGAGAGCTGGCAGATGTTTTATGCATGGACTTGGCTTCAGCAAGAGGCACAGACAATGCGTATGAGGAGAAAACAAAGGAAGTAGGAAGCGCATTGAATGCACCCATTCTTGTTTGTTTCTAACCTTGGGTTAGGAAGGGCGGAGACTACAATGGAATCTTCTGAATCCACTTTTGCAGGAAACAAAATAAAAAGTCAGGGCGGAGGGTGGCTCATGAATTTCAAAGAGGAGCTCATGAATGTGCAAATGTGCCTGTCAAGCTCAGATAGCAGATATGCCTCCTCAGCCACCAGTCTGTATAATGCACTTCGACATGGTTGCTCGAGAGGTAGTAAATAAACTGCAGTCCTTGTCTGGAATGTTTGATCGTAAAAAAACAGGCATGCCCATGCCAAGTTTAATTCATAAAAAAAAGGTCTTGAGGAAATTAAGGAAAGTGCATCTGCTCTCTGATAGAATTTTCTGAACCACAGCAAAAGCACAATCCTTTGCAGGGTAAATAGGCCAAAGAGAAACCCAGTTTGGGGGCAGCGGGGGAAAAACCAGGAGAAAATGTATTGTTTCAAAAACTTGACCGTAATTTACAATGTTTCGTACAGAGCGCTACACCCCCCCCCGACACACAAATAGTTTGTACTTAAGACCTCTTTTAATAGAAACACAGTTATTGAAAGCATTATTCCTCTTGCAGATTGCTGTTTTCAGGACACATACTGTATGTCTTAAAGAAGCATGAAAAAATAGTTTTGCATGGTATTCCTCTGCATTATGTTAACTTTAATGTGGAGACATCAGCTGCTATGCTCCTGAATGGGAAATGCGAAGGGATGAATAAAAGCTATATTTTTTAAAGATTGATTTAACACTGAGCTTCCGTTAAGTGAAATGTTACCTGTAATCTATATCGCAGTGTGCTGGATGATTTTTGAGTGAGTGGTGGTGGTTAAATTTCTGACACTGATTGGTGTAGCTGCCTGCCCATCACAGAGGGCCAGGTAGTCAGAAGAACCTTTGATTGCTATTGGTGGATATACTCTGATTCTTAGGGTCTCTGAAAGCCATTATTAGAGCTATTCAGCCCAAGAGCATCTGAAGAGAGGAGGGAAGAAGGGAGGGAAGTAAACTGGAAATGAGAAGGGGCAGAGAGAAGATGCACACACAATCCAATCTAGAGCCGCAGAGGAGACAGAGGCTGAAGTGTCAATATTGATTTGAAATAACTATTAACCAACCACACCTTTGGCTGTATAGCTGTAGTAAAATAAAATAAAAAAGCCCAATTAAGCCCCAGATTCTCCTTTTGTAGCTACAGTTATGTGCTTCAAACTGTGCCCTTCAAATGGGAACACACTGCCCAAAATCAAATCGAAGTATTTGGATTTAAATTGCTTTGTGCTACTTACTTCAATGAGATTAGATCACCTTAAATCCAGATACTTTGCTTGTCAGAGTTGTAACCTGGTTGATGATGGTTGATGCTGCAAGTTAAAGCCAGACTCAAGCTTCCACCTTACACAGAATTAAACTTATTTAAGGCCATTGATTTCTGTGGCATTTAATCTTATTTAATTCAATTTTGAACTGGCTAATGAAATGACTGGCTTTGGGTTGCAAGTGTGTCTGATGGTGAATTTGGGGTGACCCAATGCAAAAATCCTGAGAATCCCTGTGGATTCATGCTTTGTAACCACGTTTTTGCACCATTGTGGCCCCAGGCAACAGTGGGTGCGTGATTTGGGGGGGGGCAGGCTGTAGCCATGGACATGCTATGTGATCTGATGGTGAATTTGGGGTGACCCAATGCAGAGATCCTGAGGATCCATGTGGATCCATGCTTTGTAACGACATTTTAAGTGGGGAGGGAAGGAAAAACACAGAAGGGACAAGGAGCATAAGAATGCAGGAGAAGGATTTAACGGGAGGGAGGAAAGAAAGAAAGAAAGGCAAAAGTCCCCCCACCCCACCCAAGCCAGCCCTCTCTCTCCCTCTCTCCCACCTGCATGTTTTCTGGCTGCCTGCGAGGAGCAGGGAGAGGAATTAGAAGGAAGAACGCTCTGCTTCCCCCTCTGCTTGCCTGGAGGGGAGGGGATTTGCCTGCTCTTTGTTCCGTTTGAGCAAACACAGCAACGAAACACAAGCGGGTGGGCAGTAAGACCCTGAGGCAGAATGCAGGAAAGCAGCAACTTCCTCTTTTCAGGTTTCCCTTCTCCGACACGCGATTTGATTTTTGGCTGATTTTTGTTCCTGCGCTCGCCGTAGTCGGCTCCAGGGACCACACATTCGCTCAATAACACGCACAGACATTTCCCCTTCCTTTTTAGGAGAAAAAATCTGCGTGTTATAGAGAGAAAAATACGGTACCTGTGGGCCGCAGAGTGGAGAGGGATTCAGAGCACAGCAGAGGTTTTTGAGCAATATTGTCATTTGCAATAATAAACCAAAGTTAATTTAGCAGAAGACACTGCCTTGTTAGACGCAAGGAGGGAGATGGAGTAAGCTTGGGGTGGGGGTGGGGGTACAGGCACAGCAGCAAAGGGATAATTAGTGCTAAATTTCGACAGAATTGGCCCAGGCCATGCTCCTAGAACCACAATGACCCACATTTTCAAATTAATTTCAAGGCGATTTGACGTGCATTTGCGCTTAGTAGAAGCAGAGCAGAGGTCAACTCCATCACTAAAATTCTTCCCTGCCAGTCACAAATATATACCATGATTTCTTTCACTAAGTAGGTCACTGTTGGGCTGCCATGAACATTAAATACTGTGTGTGTGTGTGTGTGTGTGTGTGTGTGTCTCACATATGTAATATAGATAATACAAAATGGAACACGTGATTATCAGTGACATTACCTAGCAGTTCGAAAGCACGTCAAAGTGCAAGTAGATAAACAGGTACCGCTCCGGCAGGAAGGTAAACGGCGTGTCCATTAAACTTTAATTAGTTTAATGTTAAGTAAACGTCCAGTGAGATTTTCTTTGCTTGGACAATACTTTAGTTCAATTAAACCTTGTTTTACACTTTGGCATACATTTTGATAACGGATATCCAAGTGTTTTGTGAGTGCCTTGAATTGACCTGATTTAGCTAGTTTAATACAAGGTTGATTGTCTTCCCACACTCTGATAGGTAGGGAACATTCTCCAAACAATTCTTGTACCAGTTGCTTATAAAATTCCAGTTCTCTACATACATCTGATAATGCATTGAACTCAGATTCAGTTGAACTTAAAGCTATAAGTGATTGCTTTCTTGATCTCCAACCAATTAGTGCATTTCCAAATTTTATCGCCATTCCTGACACTGATTTTCTATCTGGTCCAGCATCTGCCCAACTGCTGTCGGCCCAACATTCAAGTTGTGTGCTGCCCTCTGCTGATAGTTTTAAGCGAAACCTTTTGGTAGTTTGGAGATACCTTAAAACTCTTTTTACTCCTTGCCAAACATGCATTGATGGTTTTTCAGCTTGTCTACACAGCATGTTGACAGCATATGTTATATCGGGCAGAGTCCACTGTGCAATGTGGAGTAGACTGCCTATCGCTGACTGGTAAACCCCGGGATTACTGAACTCTGCCTGTTGCTCGGCTTGAGCATCCTTTGTGTAACTTAACTCCATTGGGGTTTTAACACCAGCACAGTCGTCCATTTTAAACCTTTCCA